CTCCCAAAGTAGAGTGGAGTAGAGCAGACGAGAGAAGATAGAGTAGAGTAGACCACAGTGGAGGAGAGTAGAGTAGAATAGAGTACACTAGAGTAGAATACAGTACACTAGAGTAGAATAGAGTACACTAGAGTAGAATAGAGTACACTAGAGTAGAATAGAGTACACTAGACTAGAGTACACTAGACTAGAGTAGAGTACACTAGAGTAGAGTACACTAGAGTAGAGTACACTAGAGTGGAGGAGAGTAGAGTAGACCACAGTGGAGGAGAGTAGAGTACACTAGAGTAGAATAGACCACAGTGGAGGAGAGTAAAGTACACTAGAGTAGAATAGAGTACACTAGAGTAGAGTAGACCACAGTGGAGGAGAGTAGAGTACACTAGAGTAGAGTACACTAGAGTGGAGGAGAGTAGAGTAGACCACAGTGGAGGAGAGTAGAGTACACTAGAGTAGAATAGAGTACACTAGAGTAGAGTACACTAGAGTAGAGTACACTAGAGTAGAGTACACTAGAGTGGAGGAGAGTAGAGTAGACCACAGTGGAGGAGAGTAGAGTACACTAGAGTAGAATAGAGTACACTAGAGTAGAATAGACCACAGTGGAGGAGAGTAAAGTACACTAGAGTAGAATAGAGTACACTAGAGTAGAGTAGACCACAGTGGAGGAGAGTAGAGTACACTAGAGTAGAATAGAGTACACTAGAGTAGAATAGAGTACACTAGAGTAGAATAGAGTACACTACAGTAGAATAGAGTACACTAGAGTAGAATAGACCACAGTGGAGTAGAGTAGAGTACACTAGAGTAGAGTCTCTCTCACTCGTGGATATGACCCAGACACTGCACTTGATCCCAGTTTGTTCAAATCCAAACACACAACATCAGCGCAGAATAAACAAAACAGATTTGAACATAAAACCACTTTCAGAACAGTTTCTCTGACGATCATGGCCGTTTATGACCTCGTCTTTCTCTCTCCCCGCTCTCTCGCTCTCTCTCACTCCTAACTCTGCGTTTACGAGCAGCCAGTGTAAACCAGACTGGCCCAGGTCAAAGCCGTTCCCGTTACAGCCTCCTTTAACGACCGCGTCCTCCGGAAGTTTGACCTCCAATAAAGTTCCTTAAAACCTTGGTATTCCAGCTCCATCTCTCTCCCTCTCTCTCCCCCCTCTCTCCCCCTCTCTCCCGCTCTCTCCCTCTCTCTCTCCCTCTCTCTCCCTCTCTCTCTCCCCCTCTCTCCCCCTCTCTCCCTCTCTCTCTCCCTCTCTCCCCCCTCTCTCTCCCTCTCTCCCCCCTCTCTCCCCCCTCTCTCCCCCTCTCTCCCCCTCTCTCTCCCTCTCTCTCCCCCTCTCTCCCCCCCTCTCTCTCCCTCTCTCTCCCTCCCTCTCCCCCCTCTCTCCCCCCTCTCTCCCCCCTCATCATCTTCCCTCGGCTTTTATTGTGTCGTTAAAGCAGACCTCCTTGGCCCCGACACAGACTTTTATAGTCCTGGAAGTTATTAAACATGTATAATTAGTTTGAGAGTGTGGAGCCGGAGGGAGCGGGACCGAGACCTCTCAGACCGGGACCGAGGCCTCTCCGTCCGAGACCGAGGCCTCTCCGTCCGGTACCGAGGCCTCTCCGTCCGGTACCGAGGCCTCTCCGTCCGGGACCGAGGCCTCTCAGACCGAGACCGAGGCCTCTCAGACCGAGACCGAGGCCTCTCCGTCCGGTACCGAGGCCTCTCCGTCCGGGACCGAGGCCTCTCCGTCCGGGACCGAGGCCTCTCAGACCGAGACCGAGGCCTCTCAGACCGAGACCGAGGCCTCTCAGACCGAGACCGAGGCCTCTCAGACCGAGACCGAGGCCTCTCCGTCCGAGACCGAGGCCAGTCCGTTCGGGGCCGAGAGATTCTTTTCTGGTTCCTTCGGTTTTTTGTTAGAGCCGATGAGAAGCGACTGCTCAGTCCACTGTGTTGGCTGCGAGAGGAGAGAGAGACCAGAGAGAGAGACTATAGAGAGAGACTAGAGAGAGAGACCAGCGAGAGAGAGATTAGAGAGAGACCAGGTAGAGACCAGCAAAAAGACTAGAGAAAGAGAGACCAAAGATTGACCAGAGAGAGAGAGATCCCTCAGTTTTATGCACAGATAAAGAGAACTGTTTATAGGAAGAAATGATAAAATGTCTAACTTTGTCATAATAAAGAAAAAGAATAAAATCTAGCTTTAGCATAACACAGAAACAATGCTAACGTGACATTACTGTGGTTCTGTATTGCATCATTCAGACTAATATTGCACGGACGCACGCGGCGAGATCAATCTCATTCTCTAAACCGTAAACAAAGTTGCGGCGGTGTTTCCTGAACGCTGCCCTTACCTGCGAGGGCCCGGTGCAGTGCATGCTGGGAGCTCACAGCTGTACCTCTGTCCTGCTTTTCATCCGCTCCTCATGACCAGGGGCCGGAGCCGAGGCGTTTGTCTAGTTCCTCTGACTGATGATGATGTCGTGGCTCCCT